TGTGTTGACTGTGAAACAGTAGACTTTAATTATATGCATTTATGGTGTAATTACTAAATTTCCGTGTCAATCCATGTTTATTTTTACCGCGAATACTACGTCACTTCAATTTCACTTTAATTCAGCGCGTGCAGCACAGCAGAAATAGACTCCGTGCGCGTTTGCAGTCTGCTCCTGATCCGCGGCTGTTTACCACAAACACAACATTTATCCATTATTTTGATTTCAAATCCAAACGTTGTTTCTGAAAATGCTTTTTCAGCATTGTGATTCTCTTTTATCACAGTACAGTAATACAAACTTTCATAGACATATTCACGTTTAAACTCAATAAATATAACTTTGTTTAACTACCACCACGAGTGCCATCTATTATTGCCTTGTTTATCTAAAAGTGCACTTTTCCTTGTTTTAAATCTAGCCAAAAAGCCATGTGTTGACTGTGAAACAGTAGACTTTAATTATATGCATTTATGGTGTAATTACTAAATTTCCGTGTCAATCCATGTTTATTTTTACCGCGAATACTACGTCACTTCAATTTCACTTTAATTCAGCGCGTGCAGCACAGCAGAAATAGATTCCGTGCGGAAACGATCGCAGCATGACTGCTGCAGATGCACCGCTCCTGGAGCGCACTGCCCGACCGCAATCGCGTGCAGTGTCAACGCTCTGATCCGTTAACATGAGCGCGGAAAAAATACGCACCACAGACAGAGTGTGTGAACCTGACGTTACGTTTGTATGCCCGCCCGGTCTGGTCTGTTCTCGTGCTCCATTTAGGCGCGCTGCATTCTGATTGGTTCGGATAGCATACTGCGGGGAGGTCGGGGGCGCTGGAAATCGCGCAAGCTCAAATCGCGATTTTATGACGATTTCGATTAATCACACAGCCCTAGTGCTGAGGCCATTTTTTCAGATCGCTAGTTCGCATTTTGGTAGCCTATCCATCCACTGCGGCCGCCATACTGAGACTAGATATGCAAACGCCCCTATTGGATTGCTATCAGATTGCAATCCAATGACAGGGACGCACATTTTGAAGGACAAGACAGTAGCCTATAGGATGTATTTTGAATGTCCGGTAGTCCTCAAATAACATTATAGTCCCGTCTCGTCTTGTTAACGAAGACGCGGCATAAATTTCGTCATCGTTTTTATCATGAGATATTAGTTTTAGCTCGTCAACGTCTCGTCTTAGTCACAGAAAAAAATTTCGTTTCAAATTAACACTGATATGTACTGAATGTTTTTGAACCGTTGGTTTTGTTTCCAAAGCTTCAGTAAATAACGGCACGTATGTCTGTCTTACAAATGTACTGCAAATGCTCTAAAAGAACGCTGAAGGCGAACAGAAATGAGATATACAGCTCTCTGCTTGCAGCGTGTCAGTCATGCTCGTCAGGAAATTGAGTGAACTTCCGCAATTCGGTACTTCACTTCTGCAATTTGGTACGATTGCATTCACATCAGCAGAGAACCGTACGCTAGACCGCCCCTTTTAAGCGGACTTGGGTACGGTTCACGGGTGCGCACCCGAGTTCGGATGACAGCGTTCACGTCATCCAAACGTATTGAACTCTGACGTCAATTGAACTCGGGTGCGCACCAAAAGTGCTAGTGTGAAAGCACCCTAAAATCACAGAGAGAGATCATACCATCACTCTCCTCATCGTCATCAGGGGCAGGATCACTCTGTGATGGGTCTTGATTTCCACGGAGCCGACGGGAACCCTGCACACAACAATCAAGGTGCAAAAATCATAAGATACACACATAAACAGTTCACAACTATAGATTACACCACAGTCACATGCATTTGGAAGACATTTTTCAGCTTTTTGTCTCCCTGCAGGACCCTTTCTGGGACGCTACTTTCTTATGCCACTTTTTAAATATCATGCTTAAAAACAGCAAAGCCACTGTTACTTGTAGGAAACTGGTAACTAGTAGAGATTTAGTTATATACTATTGTTTAAAATTTTAAGGTCAGTAAGAATTTTCTAAAAGAAATTAATAATTAACATCACATGAATAAATTACATTTTAAGAAATGAAAAAGAAAAGCATTCAAATTGTAATATAATTTATAATATTACTGTTTTTTAATTATTGTATTGTTGATTAATTAAATGAAGACTGGGTGAGCAAAAGAGACTACTTTCAAAAATCTTATTGACCCCAAATTTTTGTACGATAATTTAGATATCTAGATATAGCAGTGACTATATCAGTTTATTCTATGAATGCTGGATCTGTACCTGTACCTTGTGTTGCCGTAGTAGATTGTCTAGGTTGTATCGTCTCTTGTTGTTGAAGTAAAAGTTCTTACATTGAGCTTCACTCTTAGTGCCTACCATATTAGCAATGGCTGACCAGTTCCTACCATGTTCAACCAGCCCTGTGCACAAGAGAAAGAGGGTAAGGTTATGAATGAATAGAAGTCACCTGGAGCCAAACAAAACCCTTATGTATTACTAATGGCTTTCTGGATGGATGGAGCCTAATATTAACCACAAGATCATTTAACAGGCCCCACTATAACATGAAGATAACACCCTCTTTCCTTCAGCAGCACTATTTAAACATGAAACATGGCTGGGTTTTAGTTTGCAATGACTGTGCCACTCCTTCTGCCTCGGTGCTGCAGGTAATCCTGCCATCTTAGCTAGAATGGATGAACTAGTTAATGCAGGATGTGCAGGGCACCACAAGGTTGAAGCAGCCCCGATTAGCTGAATTCCTGATGAGCATCAGCATGAAAATCAGCCTGATTTCTTAGTATCCCACAAAGAGACACATTATTGTTGATTATTAAGGTTGCAAGGGATGCAAATCACTTAATATTAGGTCAAGAAATGAGAAAGGACAGCTATCCATAGATATCTTAATAATAACTGCTCACTCTATAAAAGTGCTAACACATTAGTTAAATATCTACTAAAGATTGTGAGCAAAAAAATGCCCATTGTCAATAGTGTAGCATTGTCTGCAGCACTGTTCACAGAGAAGTTGCTTTCAAACCAGGCAGATTTCTGACAATCAATGCAGTGAATTTGTGTGACCATTTTGAATCCGATGCAAAATCTACACAGACAAATATTTTGCCTTCAAGTAGATTCCAGATTTCAAAATTTCCTAATGAAATGTCTCAAGTTCAGACAATTTGCCAAACAACATTAAATGTGACAGCACCTTAAAGATTGCGGCTCACCAACCAACTCTAAACAGCTTGACAACAGTATGGATGGCAAACCTACTGGAAGAGTGGTTTGGAAAAGTGTTTTCTTCTGGCATTTCTCAGGTTCTTGCAATGTTCCAATTTGGTGGCAAATTAAACTGAATAAATAATTGCAACAGATCAACTTTGAATTCAATTAGTGAAGTGATTTTACCCTGTGAATGTGTGTCATCTGTATTTGTCTATTCAGGGTCATAGTACACATGACCAGTACCACATGCATGCCAGGAGCAGTTGTCAGCTTCAGTGATCAAAAGATTTACACTGAACTTACACATACAGTTTTCCCTGTGTGTTCTTTCTTTATTATGATATTTTAAGTGTCTCCAGAAAGTACTCAAGCTACACAAACAAGCAAAGATAACAAATGACATCTGTGAGACTGTATGTGGTTTTGTGTTCACAAATCAAAGTTTGGACCAGATCATAGCAGTCTCTGATCACTACCATGAGAATGAAACCAACTGCCAACCAAGATATTCCAACTAGCTGGATGTTCTCAGAGACCATGAGGACAGTCAATAGTGCCATTAACTCAAGAGCTTGAGACACTAACTTGCACAAATTTCCTATGATCAATTTATATTAGGGCTGAAACAATATTTTCAGGGCTAAAACAAATATTTTTGTCGTCATGAAGTCGTTTGATCTCATATGACCTAATGTAAGCGCCTGCAATAACGCGGATTGACCAGTGGGGTGCTGTAGCGCAAGACTGTAATTCAGCCTTCCTGGATGAAATCCAATAGAAGACGACACGCAGCTGAACCTGAAGCTTTTGAGTGGCGCTTAGATGAATATGTAAAAAATGACAGTGTCGAGAAAAGAGCATCTGAGTTTGGCGATGTGGATGACTACATGAGCTCTACAGCTCGGAACTCGGTAAAGTCCAGTCATGTCATGTTTATTTATTAAAAATGAGTTGCTGTATGTAACAAAACAGATGTCATTTCCCACTGTTTATTAGTGGGATTTTTTCCCCTAACCTTATTAAATGTGTCATTTTTCACATCAAATTCTTACTTTGTTTCAATTAATTCAGTTAGAATAATAAGAAACTGTAGCGTTGTTACCATTCAAATAAAATTAGTATTAACAAACTCTATCTTACCACTGCTGAGGAAACAGAAGCTGCATCTGAAATGGCATTAGATGCATTTTACACAGACAGTTTGATGAAGCTGAGGTGCCATAAATGCATTTACACTGCAACATTTCAAATGCATAACTAATTTTATAAGATTAATGTTTTACATATTTATTTAAACAAATAAATGTTGACAAAATGCAATGATACATTTAAATATGACTAAACCACCAGTAGGTGGCGGCAAATGTCAGGTTTAATGAGTGAGTGAGTCATTTATTCATTCATTCAAACGGCTGATTCATTCAGAAA